TTGATCAGATATAATCAGATATAATTCAGATATGATTGAGATCTGTCCACATATAATCATATATAATTATATATAATTATATATACAATTATATATAATTATATATGGACAAGTCTGAATCATATCTGAATTATATCTGATTATATCTGATCAGATCTTGACAAAATCCATATCTGGCTTTTATATGAACTTTTTTTGCCCGGAAACCTATTTGCAAGTATTGTTTTTACATGACTCGTACAGGTGCAAATCCACAATAAATTATGCCATTAAAGTATATTGATGACAAAACAAGATAGATTTATTTGCACAGTTTGTTTTAAATTGTATGTAATTCTACAAACGTTTTTTAATGTTATTATTTTTTTAACATTATTTGAGTTATTTCTTTTATACTTTAATATTCATTACAACTAAAGATTATTAGATAAAAAATGGATGTACTAGAAATGTGGGAAATATTTTTTGATCACCCATCTGATGAAGATGATGAGGATAACTTCCAACCTCCACGGGAACATCATATAAAGATCTCACATTTTTTTAAAACATTGTTGTAGCATATTCATTGACAGGTAATGGAATTTCAAATTTTACTGTACTATATTAATTTATTGTTTTAAGTTTATATAAATGTTCTTGCATTATATGTTTTGATTACAATAAACTATATTAACATTATTAAAATAGATTTTAAATCTATCTTGTTTTGTCATCAATATACCCTAATGGCATAATTTATTGTGGACTTGCACCTGCACGAGTCATATAAAAACAATACTTGCAAATAGGTTAAAACAGTGTGACTTTTTACTTTAGGATAATATTTGAAAAATATAATATATATTATTATATATATACTATATAGTATTTACTATTATATGTATACTTACTATTATATATATACTATTATACAGGGTGTCCCGCGTAAGGCGGACCAAAAGAAAAATATAAGTAAAAATGAACAAAAATTGTATAGGTCATTTTTCAAACAACCACGTAAAATTTCGAGATATTAATTAAAATAGTTGAACAAATTAGAACGCGCGATGCGACAGGCGGGACATACGGTTCTCAATGGTCGGCGAAGAAAATGGAAGAACGCACACGTACACGGACGTACACACGGAGCTACTCATTTCAGTATGCCAAACAGCCCACCTCTCTGGCCTATAAGATAGGCCCGCGAGCAATCATCCATTTTCTTCGCCGGCCGCGGCGAGCCGTATGTCCCGCCTGCCGTGTCGTCGCGCTCTGATATGCTCAACTATTTTCATTAATATCTCGAAATTTTACGTGGTTGTTTGAAAAATGACCTATATAATTTTTGTTCACTTTTATGTGTTCTACTTATATTTTTTTTTGGTCCGTCTTACGCGGGACACCTACCCTTATAGAAATATCATACTAAGAATCATTGATAATTACTTATTATCCAGTATTTTTAATACTGAAAATAAGTAATTATCAATGATTCTTAGTATGATATTTCTAAAAGGGCTGTATATATACTATATAGTATTTTAATATAACTTTAATTAAGTATAAATAAAATTTTATTAGAAAACAACACCAGATTTTATAATCAATAATACAATTTTACAAAATTATTATCTCGTGTATTTGTCACGGTACTGTTCTGCCTAACCCACTGCTTGCAGTCGTGAGACAGCATTAGGTAGCTTTAGGTTGTCATGAATCACATAATAGTAGTAGATGGTCATGTCTGTAACTTATTTCTGCTCTAGGGAAATGACTCGGAGAGGTATTATCGGAAACACCTACTATTAATGTTAATAGTGGCACTGTTAGTGACTCTAGTAGTGACATTAATAATACTAACACTATTAGTGCTGATAGTGACACTACTAGTATTAGCAGTGATACTATTAGTGACACCAGTAATGTCAGAAGTAACTACAAATTCCAATAGTGGTAATACGAGTATTATAAGTGACACTTGATGAGCTGATGTGTATAACCCTTGTAGAAATATCATACTAAGAATCATTGATAATTACTTATTTTCAGTATTAAAAATACTGAATAATAAGTAATTATCAATGATTCTTAGT